AAACTCCCTGAAACAGTCTGAACCAGTCTGAACCAGCCTGAACCAGTTTGAACCAGCCTGAACCAGGTGCCTGGAGGCTCAGATCAAGCAGGAACTCCTCAGTTTTCATCCTGGTTCTGGAGCCCTGAGTCGGCTTGCTGTGTCACTGAATGGTCCGGCCAACTTTAAGACCCAGAAAAAGCACCAAAACGGGTCGGTTTTCACATGATCTCGGGCTCACAGCCTCACCTTTGGACTTTTGCTCAGGTCCCAGTTGGATCCCAGCTTCTCCGCCCCCTCCCCTCTGTAGACACTTCCCACTATTTAAGGGCACATCTGAGGAATTTGTGGACTTCCAAGTTCATGCAAATGGACATCTGCTTGTATCTGCTCTCCCTCTAATTGCACTGGGTGGCTCAAACGTGTGGCCTGGACCAGTCTGAACCGGCCCAAACCAGTCTGAGCCAGCCCAAACCAGCGTGAACTAATCTGAACCAGTCCTAACCATTCTGAACCAGCCCAAGATAGTCTGAACCAGTCTGAACCAGGCGGCTGGAGGCTCAGATTAAGGAGGAACTCCTCAGCTCAAACTGCCTCTGTGTCAAGGAATCAGAGAGTGAGGCTGAGCTACCAGAACCAGGAAGAGCCACCCGAACCGGACAGAAACACCAGAACCAGGAGGAGCCACCAGAACCACCAGAGCCAGGCAGAGCCATCAGAACCAGGAAGAGCCACCCGAACCGGAGAGAAACACCAGAACCCAGAGGAGCCACCAGAACCAGGAAAAGAGCCACAAGAATGAGACAGAACCACCAGAACCAGGAAAAGAGCCACAAGAATCATACAGAACCACCAGAACCAGGAAGAACCACCAGAGCCACCAGAACCAGGAGACGCCAGAACCACCAGAGCCACCAGAACCAGGAAAAGCTACCAGAGCCACCAGAACCAGCAAGAGCTACCAGGAACACCAGAGCCACCACAAACAGACAGAACCACCAGAACCAGGAAGAACCACCAGAGCCAGGCAGAGCCCCCAGAACCAGACAGAACCAGGGCGAGCCACCAGAACCAGCAAGAGCTACCAGAGCCACCAGAACCAGGAAGAACCACCAGAACCAGACAGAACCAGGAAGAGCCCCTTCATGGATCCATGTGGATCTATGTGGATCCTGTGAAGCCTCCACCATCCTTAAAGGACAAGCCAGGATCCACACAGATCCACATAGATCCACACAGATCCACATAGATCCCCCTCAGATCCACATAGATCCACACAGATCCACATAGATCCACACAGATCCACATAGATCCACATGGATCCTCCACTGTGGAGGCTGCGCTGGTGTCTCAGGGTGCGCGTGCACGCGCCGCTTCCCGGCTCTCCACAGCTCATTGTGGGTCTATAAAAAGCCACTCCGGGCTCCTGTGCGCTCGCGTGTGTGTGCGCGCGCGCAGTGCATGCGTGGTGGAGCACTTTGTGGGCGAGTTGTGCAGCAGATCCGAAGCCCTCAGCTCTCCGGCTCCCCTCTCCTCTTCCTCCTCCTCCTCCTCCTCCTCTTCCTTCTCCTCCTCCTCCCTCCATCACTGCCTCTTCCTCCGCGCGCGGAGCCGCAGACCTGCGCGTGAAACGGGCAGAAGCTCCACTCCGGACTCGGACTGCACAGCTTCCGGCTCCCTTCGTCCCAGAGTCGGCGCGGGCACGTGCGGACATCCAGCCCCGCTGACCGCTCCGCGCGCCGCTTTTGCTTTTGGGGGGGAAAAAAAACTCTGGAGCTCTTTTTTCCCGAATAAGGTGGGGGGTTTAAAAAAAAAAAGAACATGTAAAAAAGAGGATTTCCTGCTGCAGCCCTGCTGGGTTTCTCCTCCTCCGCCTGGTTTTAAACCCTTTTCTTTCCCCTGTTTTCTGCTTCCTTTGCAGGATAATTGCGCCAGGGTGCTGCTCGCGCGCGGAGCCGACAAGGAAGTGAAGAACTACAACAGCCAGAGTCCATTTCAGGTAGCTGAAAAAAAGGAAAAAAGGGGGAAAATTTGCATGCAAGTTGTTCAGGAGGGCTCGTTTTTTCTGTTTTTTTTGTTGTGTTTTTTTAGCTTTCAAGCGTGGGAAAAACATTTATAGCAGCTGCACATTTTCCTCCTCTTCATCTCATGCGTTTCCATGGCAACAGGCGAAATAGCCAAGGTCAGTTTTGAACCAAAAATATAGACGTGGTCCTGGGCCCTGGCTGGAGTTTTGTGGTGTTTTGAGGCAGCGGGGTGGTCTTTAGACCCGGTCAGGGCCACTTTGACTGAGGCCACATCTGGACATGACCCAGCTTTCTGGAGGGTTTCCGGTCAGAGATCTGCAAAGTGCAGGAAACCGTCCAGTTGAATTGATTTGGGTGGGAAAAAGGTGAGAAAGAGACAGTTTGTGGGGATTTTTAGGTGGGGTTGTGTAGCAGGTGTGTGTGTCGTTTGTGCTCTCAGCGGCTAAGCTAACAGCTAGCCGGTCAGAGTGATGACCCTTTTCCAGCTGCTCAAACAGCTGGATTCATAAGGAAAACTTTGAAGAACTAGGATATAGAGTTTTTTTTCTTCTTTTGCATTTTAATTATTAACAGAAATCTGGGTAAAATATTAACAAAATTATACATTTTCAAAAAACTTTTAAAAAGACAGCTGGATTCATCATGAAACTTTAAAAAAATGTAAAAACTAGTATGTTGATTTTTTTCTTCTTTGCATTTTAATTATAAACATATAAAAAAACAAAATGGCTTGATTCATAATAAAACTGCTAAAAATAAATAAAATAAACCAAGATAGATTTTTAAAAGATTTTTAAAAAAAGATAAAAAGCAGGATTCATCATAAAAACTTTAAAACAAACAAACTAGGATATATAATTATTTTTTCTTCTTTTTCATTTTAATTTCTCATGAAAATGTGCATGTAGATATTAATGAAACTTTACGAAAAAAACGCGAATTATACTCGTCCATATCTTTATATTCGGTTCAAATAAAAAAAGATAGATTTTTAAATATATCTTTTTATCTTTTTTTTCTTGGATAAGGTTTCATAGGGCCCAGAGCCTGAAGCCTGAAGCTCAGTTCGACCAAACTAACCCAAACCGGGTTCTGTGAGTCCCAAAATGTCGGTTTTACGGTTGTCTGGAGCCGCTGAGCTCTTCAGGGTTAGTCAGCCGGTTACCTAACCAGACCAGCTCCAGCGCCGTGCACGGCCGGTGCGCACGCTCATACAGCTTTAACCCTGGTCTGGTGTTCATGGTGTTGTTACTCAGCCAGCGTTTGTGGGTCTGGTGGAAAAGCTGCATTTTGTGGTTATTAATGTCTAAAAATCAGTACTTTTATGTTCAAATACTCCACAGACGTTGACTTTATCCCAATTACAAGCAGGATAAACAGAATAACTGGTTGATATTTGCTCTTTGCCTTTTTTAGATCAGGTTTATAACTTATTATTTAAAACGTAAAGAAAATAAATTAAAATCAAGATATGAGTGGAAGCAAACTTACAAATGAAGCAAAGTTTTTCAGATCCACTGACTTTTATTTCTCTGAACTCAGAAATCGAACTCATCCAGTGGACCTGAACACCTCGTGTGTAGTAGAAATGTGTAGCGGGGGTGTGCGATGTGTGCTCATAAACGTGTGTTCTGATAAATGTTCATCACAGAAAACCAGCCAGCGAGTCTGAGTTAGAATAAATCATTTTTATTCCTTTATTATTCCAAAATTCAGTCATTGCATCATTTTTCTGTTGATAAACAGTGAAAACAGGTCCCACAGACCTGAACTCCAGAAAAGGGTTGCGGCTTCACAGGAGCTGAAATGGTGAAACTCCATCTTTCTGGAGGAAGTTTTCAGGCTTTTGGATGCTGGCGTTCATCCAGATGTCCATCTCTGGAAAAACCCAGAAGCTGCGTGGTTGGCAATTTGACTCCCAACCTGTTAGCCTCCTGAGAGCCTGTTCTTTATCTTAGCTTAGCTCATCTTAGCTTAGTTTAGCTTTCTCTGGGGGTTTTCCTCCAGTGGGTCTACTTTAGCCTCCTGAGAGCCTGTTCTGATGTGAGGACGCTGATTTTCTGCCTCTCTGTATCAGGATCCTTCTTTTTTCTTTGACCTTTGACCTCTTGGCCTCATAGCAGATGCTATCAGACACTATTGTTTGAAATCTAAAGGAAAATCTAACCAGCCCTGAAACGCTGCTGGGTCTGTGTTGTTAGGAACTCTTAACCTTAGCGTAGCTTATTGTAGCTTAGTTTAGTTTAGCTTGTTTTAATCTAGCTTATTTTAGTTTAGCTCATCTTACCTTAGCTCATCTTAGCTTAGTTTATTTGAGCTTGTTTAGAGTATCTTAGCTTAGCTCATCTTAGCTTAGCTTATCTTAGCTTGGTTTAGCGTTCTCTGAGGATTTTCCTCCAGTGGGTCTACTTTAGCCTCCTGAGAGCCTGTTCTCATGTGAGGACGCTGCATTTCTGCCTCTGGAAAAATGGTTTTAGACATTTTACACCAATCATGTTCTTATTGTGAAGTTAAAATGTTGTAAATAAGTCATTTGGACCCTCAGAACCGAACAGCAAAACATTTGATTAAATCTCTAAACAGATATTTTAAATCTAAAGCTAAACCCACTGAGCTTATATGAAGAAAAACTACCTGAACCAGGACAAAGTCTAGTTATTAAACTTATCAGTTTTCAGGGTTTTTATCTCAGTTTGACAGAAAATTTGAGCTTTTTCCTCCAGAAAGAGGTGCCCTTAATGTGTGCGTATCTAAAATAAAAGCTGCATCTACACGGTTACATAAGGAGACATTAAATTAAATTCAGCTCTGAGCTGAATTCTGCCTCACCACAGCAGCTTCGGTACGCAGAAGCCCGGTGTTTGGG